AAATTTTAAGGGGAAATTTTTTGGGGAAAAACCCAACCCCTGAAAAACAATTTTTATTTAAAACCCAAAAACCAATTTTAGAAGTTCGCAGCCCTTTGAAATTCCCAAATTTTTATGGAAAAAAACAAAAGGGAAAATAGTAAATTTTTGGAAAATTTTAGAGTCCCCCTCGGCCTTGGGAAAAAAAAAATTTTAAAAATTTAGGCCAAAATTTTTGCAAAGGCAATAGCCCCCGTTTTAAAAACTTGGGCCCCCTTTTTGAAATTTTTTATTGAAGCAAGTTTTTAAAAATTTTTTTTCCAAAATTTTAAAAAAAAACCCTTTTTTGAAATTAAAAACCCCAAACAAAATTTTTTTTGGAAAATTTTTTTTAAAAAAAGCTTTAAAAAAATATTAAAATTTTTTCATCTTAAAAAATGCAAAAATATTTCCCCCAATAAACAAAAAAGCAGCATGGGTTTTAAAAATATGTTTTTTAAGAACCTTTAATTTTAAAAAAAAAAAGTTTTTTTAAACACAAAAACCCAAATTCTAATGGGCAAAAACAAAAAAAATAAATCAAAAAGAAAAGTTGGAAAAACAACCCAATTTTAAAAAAAACAACAAATTTGGAAAAATTTTTTTTTTTTTTTTCAATTGTGGGGGCCCTCCCAAAAACCCTTTTTTTGGGAGAAATTGGAAAAAAAAACTAAGGGTTTAAAAAAAAGTAAAAAAATTAAAAATTTTTAAACGTTTTTTTTTTTTAAAGAACGAAATTTTTTTGAAAAGAAAAAAAATTGGGGTTTTTTAAGTAATAAAATTCCAAAAATTTTTGTTTTAAAAAAAAAACCCCCAAGGGAAAAATTTTTTTTGCTGTTAAAATTAAAATTTGGGGATAAGTTTTTTCGGTTTTGGGAAATTTTTAGAAAAACGGCCCCTTTTGGGTTTCTGGGCCGGGGTTTTTTTTATCAAAAATTTTTTTAATTTTTGCAAAACCCAAAAATTTTTTCCCACCCACCAAAATCTTGTGGAATGTTTTTTAGCCCCCAAAAAAATTCCCATTTTTGGGTATTCCCAAAAAATACATTTTTTTTTTTATATAAAACCCGTTTTTTTTTTAAAAAATGATTTTCCCCCAAAGTTTAAAAGAAACTTTTTAAAAAAGTGTAAAATACAACAAAAAATTTTAAAAAAAAAAACAAGGGGTTTTTGTGAAAAAAAAAAATAAAAATTTCCCCCCTTTTTTTTTAAAACAAAACCCCGACAGTAGCTTTTTCTATTTTGGGTTTAGGTTGGCCCTTTTCTTCCCTCTGGGTTTAAATGAAAAAAATTTTGAACAACTGGAAATTTCAACAAAAACAAACCCCCACTTTAAAAATTTTTATAAATTTCCCCTAACCCCTTCCGATTTTAGAAGAAAAATTTTTTGTTTTTCAAAGGGGTTTTAGTCAAATAAAAAAAATTTAAAATTTGAAAAAACCCCAAAAAAATGGTTTTTTTAAAAAATTTTTTTTTTTGTTTTTTTTTATTTTTTAAACAAAAGGGGAAACAGTTTTAAATTTTTTTGCCCAAAAGTAGAATATAATTTTTTCCCCAAAATAGACCCTAAAACTTTTTTTAAAAAGTTTTTAAATATGTTTTGCTTTTTTTTTTGCGGCGGGTTTTAAAAATCCCCAAAAGGAAAAAATAAATTTTTTTGATCTACAAAGGGGCTATAAAATATGGGTTTTTTTAAAAAAAAAATTAAAAAAATGTTAAATCTGAAAGGTTTTTTTTTAAATGCCAACCTTTTTTGTTAAAATTAAAATGAAAATTTCCTTTTCGGTAAAAAAAGTTGGGGTGAAAGGCCCAGAAATTTCCCCGGGGAAAAATAAAAATTTTTAAATTTAAAATTTTAAAAAACGTTTTTTAAAAACACAAGTACAAATTTTAAAATACACACTGTTTTTAAACCCCTTTCATTCTTTTTTTTAAAAAAACCCCTTTTTGCCCCCAAAAAAAATGCTTTCCCCTTTTTTTTTTATTAATTGGGGAAATTCCCTTTTCAAAAGCTTTTTAAAAAGGTTTTCTCATGGTTCCCAAATTTTTTTTGGAAAAATGGGGCCCCCTTTTTCTTCTTCCCCGTTTTTCCCCTTTTTTTTAATTTTAAAAATTTAAAGTGTTTTTTTGTGTAAGTTTTTTTTATGTAAAAGGCAAAAACCCAACCCTTTTTTTAAAAACTTTTTGCTTGTAAAAACACCCAAAATTTAAAATTTTAAAAGTATTTCCCCTTCAAAATTTAAAAGCCCCTTTAAAAAGCCCCAAAACCAAAAAAAATTAAAAAATTTAAAAAAACAAATATTTTACCTTTTCCCAAAAAAAGTAAAATTTTTTCCTTTCTGAGGGAAAAAAAAAGGGGCCCTTTTAAAAATATTTGTAAAACGAATTGGGTTGTTGGGAATTTTTTAAAAAAAAAACCTAATAAGTTTTTTAAAAAAAGGAAAAATTATTAAAAAAAGGGTTTTTATTTTGGAAAAAAATATTGTTTTTGATTAAGATAAGGGGTTTTTTTCGGAAAAATTAAAGGGAAAAATAAATTTAAAAATACGATTTTTTTGGGTAAAAGTTTTTTTGTTTTAAAGGGAATTTTCCCCGCAAAATTTTTTTAGATTTTAAAAATTTCCCCAAATTTGGGAAAAAAAATTTTGTTTTTTGGGAAAACCCCGGGGTGAATGGATTCCCCGGTTTTTTTTGAAAATTTTTTTTAAAAAAAGAAAATAATACATTGTTTTCCCAAAGGCATAGCAAACAGATTTTTCGGGGGGTCCCCCAAAAATTTTTTTAAAAAAACCCAAAGAAAAACTTAACCCGTTTTTTTAAAATTAAAACATAAAACAAACCAAACCAAAACCCTTTTAGAAGAAAAAGTTTTAAAATAGTTTAATTTAAAAAACTTTTTTATTTTTTTAAATTTTCCCCCCCAAAAATTTTTTTTTTTTCAAAAATTTAAAAAAGGTTTTTAAAGGTTTTTAAAAAATCCCTCATTTGGGGAAAAAATATTTTTTTTTTTTAAAAAACCCTTTCAATTAAAATCAAATTTCAAAAATACCCAAATTAAAAACTTTTTTTTCATGGTTTTTTTAAAAAACCTAAGATAAAATTTTTGTTTAGGGAAAGTTCCTTTTTTTTTTCAAAACTTCCAATAGATAAAAAAAAATAACTAAAAAAAAATCAAATTTTTCCCCCTTTATCTTTTTTCAATTTTGGGGGGATTTGTTTTTTTTTTAAAAAAAAACAATGAAAACCTAACTAAAATTTTTTTTAAAATTTTAAATTTTAAGGTTCCCAAATAAAAAAAGGGAAAAATACGCCCGAAATGTTTTTTAAATGGTTTTTGCTAAAAAAGTTTTAAATTTGTTAAAAATTTTTTTTTCCAAAATTTTTTAAAAAGGTTGGGTTTAAAAGCAAAATCTAAATCCCCCTTTCCCTTTTCTTCCCCAACCGGTTTTTATTCAAAAAAACGGTTTTAAAAACATTAAATTTTAAATTTTTTACCGACAAAAGGGCCCAAGTAAAAAAAAGTTTTTTTAAATTTTGGGGGTGAGAAAGGGACAAAAAAAGAAAAGGGAAAAAAAGAAAAAGTAAAAAAAATCCCCAAAACCCTTTAAAAAATTTTTTTTGCGAAAGTTTTTTTTGTTTTTTGGGGTATAAATTATACGAGTAATAATAAAAATTTTTTTTTCAAATGGACCCGAGTTTTACGTTTTAAAAGGGGAAAAACCCCGAAAGGGAATTTTTTCCCCTTTTCCCTTTTTTCAAAAAATTTAAAAGATCGAAAATTTTAAAAGTTTTTTTAAAAGTAAAAGCCCCTGAAAAAAAAGGAAAAATAATTTAAATAAATAATAATTTTTCAAAATATTAAATACTACTTTCTTAAATCCCCTTTTTTTACCCCCCCAATACTTTCCACTTTCCCAAATAATAAAAAATAAAATAATAATTTAAAAAAATAATAAATAAAAAAAAAAAAAATTTGGGAATTTGGGAAAACTGACGCCCGAAAACAGGTAATAAGAAAAGTAAAAAAAATTTTTTTTTTGACAAATTTTTTTGAAAAAAATCCCTTTGGAAATTTTTTACCGTATGTTTGGGGCCCCTTTTAAAAAATTTTTTTGTTAAAAAGTTTTTTTTAAAATTTTCTATAGTCGACAATTTTTGGTCCCAGGCCAAAATTTTTTTTTTTTTTTGCCATACCCCAAAACGAGGGGTTTAAAAAGTAAAAGTTTTTCCCCAAAATTTTTAAAAAACTTTCCTTTTTTTTTGCCTTGATTTAATCACAAAATAAAAAAAAAAATAAATTTTCATTAAAGTAAAAAGTGGTTTTTAAAAAAAAGGGGTGGGGAAAAGGATTTTTTATTTTTATCAATCGATAAAATTTTGTCCCCCAATTTTGGGAATTAAAGGGTTTTTAAGCCTTTTTTGGGCAGAAAATGTTTTATTTTAACACAAAAAATGGGAAAAATTTAAAAAAAACGGAAATAAAAAGTTTTAGGAATTTAAAAAACCCAAACCCCCACCCCCCCCCAAAAACCCCAAAACCCCCCAAAAAACAACAACAAAAAACAAAAAAATGCCTTTTTTTTAATACTCCCCCCCGCCATAAAAGGGCGAAAGTTCCCCCCCTATCCTCCCCTCTTTTGTTAAAAGGGGGGTTATTCCAAAATAAGCTGCCAAGGGAGGGGTTAAAAAATTTTAAAAGTAAACCCCATCTATTTTTCGGAATATATACCCAAAAAATCTTTCTTCAATAATACTTTTAAAAAAAAAAAACAAATTAAAAAAAGGGTAGCTTTTTCAGAGTTTTTTAAAAAAGTTTCCCTCGTATCGTAAAAAATGGGAAAAAAAATTCAAAAACCTTTTAAAAACTCTGTGGGAAAAAAACTTTCCCTTCTAAATATTTAATTTTTTAAAAACAAAAGCTTTAAAAATTTTACAGGAAAATTTTAAAAAAGGGAAAATTTTTGAATTCCAAAATTTTTTTTCCAAATGGGGAAAGGAATAATACCGTTACGACACGGAAGTTTACCTGGTGCTTTGCGATTGCCTAAAAGATATGAAAAATTCTCCAAGGACGAAATGTCGCCTGGTTTGTCGTCTGCTTCAAAACGGAAGTCATCGATCATCATTGAGCACGAGGAGACAGAAGATGAACGAATGAGGGATATGATGCAAGTCATTATGTGGGTGAAACAAGAGCTCGTGAGTAACGTTTTATATAAACAAACAATATAACAACGCTTAGACATAAGAAACAGGACTGGATTTGACCCCACGCACGCACATATATACAGACACACCAATTACTTTTTGCCACCACATTACAAAAGCTTCGATGACATAGAAAAAACAACAACTAAATATAGTAAGAATATTAAGAAATTCTGTCAAAAATACTTGATAAAGGAGAAAATACAGAGACGCACTTAACGAATTGACTTTTTTAAATTCTAATAGTAGTATATCTATTTTAAACTTTGAAGGAATATTAATTACTGTTTTGTAACGATAAGTTAAGAGAAGTTATAATTTCTTAATGGACATAATTGTTTTTATTTAATTACAGATACTGTTAAGACAACATGATATTTTACTTAAAAGACAATTCTGTGATATTCAAGACACAATCCATTCATTGACCAAATCCAGGAAATATAGAAAAAGTCCCGCGACAGACTCCACTACAAGTCTACAATCAACTGAAGGCAGTGAATTTGGACTAGACAATTATTCAGTACGATCAGCATCAAGTGTCACAGCATTGGACGGTACCGATACAGAGGAAGAGGATGACGCTTTTCGTCCACGAACATGTTCTATGAAAACAACGCGAGATCTTGCAGCTCTCGCGAGAAGAAGGGGGAGCAAGGAATTGATATGAAAGAGCAAACAGTTGGCGTTAACTATAAATGTGAAAGTGCTATTTGTGTGTATAATATAAGGAAAAAGTGTTCAATATAGATGTCTGTGTAATACAGACTGATCCTAGTCATGGTGAAATAGAATTAGCGTAACCCAAACTGTTAGTTAGCATTCTTGTTTCTAAGTTATAATTAACAATAATTCATACATTGCTGTATTTTTACATTAACACGAAATATATCTTTATATAGTCTGTCACAACTGTTATATTATACCTTACATAAATGTTTTTCTTCTTTACAATTGTAAGTGTTAACGGGCCTTTTAATGACATAGAAGTAAAAAAGGCGTATGTTAATCATTTGACATGGTGTTTACAATGTAATATCAACGGTGGTCATTGTTTACTTGTCTGTTACTTGACAAAAATCTTTAGTAAAAATAGTCTTTTGACTTGCCGAGAGTCCTGCACTTGTACTGCTTAGAGTAACATGCTATATGCCATTCCATTTACAAATCATAGAAGACAAATTGTATTGTAATACAAATGATGTATGTTTGGTTAAGTCAATACAGTAAACTTCACTTATAGCGAACACGGTTATAGCGAACTTCCGGTCATAAGGAACAATTTATTTTGGCCCGAATTTTGCCCTTCTTTATTTAATGTAAAAATATACGGTTATAGCGAACACGGTTATAAGGAATTATCGCATATAAGGAACTCATTTTTTAGTCCCAATTTAGTTAAAAGTTCATAAAATTACACTTTTATAACGAACTCCAAATATCGTCTATTCTTAAATATATCCCGCATTTTCAACTTTCGTTTTCATTTGCACGGAATAAAACTCGCGGAATGTACCGTTTATTGTTGTATGTAATTCAATATATGAAAATGAATTTGTATAGAAGTATGTAATAGTTTTCTATTTAGGATATTTTTAGCTTGAGTTTTTGTCACAAAGATGAAACGGTAATTCCCTTTATTCTATAATTTCTTTTCTTTAATAATTTGCTCGAGTAAAATAATTATCGGTTTTCTACATAATCACGCATGCTTGCAAACATAATCCATAGAAAACTACAAATATGCTTGATTGAAATTAAAAGAAATGTATATGTTATTAGTTAAAGTCACCCTTGAAATATAATAGAAGATATTCATTATAAAAGGAAGACAAATGAAAAATCTTGTTTATTCTTCTTATTGAAAGAAAACAAAAAGCAGTAAGAGTTAAGAAACGAAATATGATGTTTTATGAAAAATTGAGATAGGGAGTAAAACTAAAACTGAAATAGCAAATGATTTTCAAATTCCAAAATGTACGCTCTCGGGTATTGTGTCTAAAAAAGAAATAAATGATTAATTATTCTTAATCAAATGCTCTTAAAAATGGTGGACGATGTTTAACAATCAGTTCGTTATATGTAAATCTCTGTTCGCTATAAAAACTCCTGAACTAATTCGCTATATGCTTACAAGGAACTCCGGTTATAAGGAACAGATTTTGAATGTCCCAAATGAGTTCGTTATAAGCGGAGTTTACTGTACATATTTTTATTGAAATACGTACAGGCAAAATAATGTTTTCCGTTACAAAATATATCCATTATCCAAATTTACGATTTTTATATCCATTCTTGTATAATCTGTTCAATAAAGGTGATAAGCATTTACATATTATTGCACAAGAATGCCCAAAGTTTGTAAATATGTGATAAAGTTTACTAGATTGGTTTTGATCTATTTGTTCAATAAAATTTACCAATAGTAAGTGATAAAACAATTTTCCCATGATGCAAAAGATGATAGTATGGCATTCAAATGCTTTATTACATCATGAACGTTATTTTGGGAGCAAGATTACGGATTTTTGATCAGAATTTCAGCCGCAGTTATTAGAAATGGGCAAGGATGCATTTAGAAATAAATAATAGTATTATATTAAATATAGCATAATCCTAAGATCACACGTATAGATTCAAAGAAAATATTTTAATAAAAAGTAAACAATAAGGTAAATATGAAATCGGGTTGAGTCTGTTCATGAAGGCAATGTAAATGCCACATTTACATCGTCTAATCCTTAAGTCCAACTTATTGTACTACGCGATGAGAAATTGTGCTATTTTTGTATATGGCAAATTCCCCCCCCCCCCCTTCTAGAAGTGAGATATCGACCCAGAACAAAAAAATTCAGAATCTAGCTTTGGCACGTCAATATATTTTTGATTAAACCCTTACAACATTAAATATTGTTAATAAAGCTGTCCGTTTCTTAATCTGGTAAAAGCTATTCATAATTTTAGGGTAATTTCAAACATGTACTGATTTGAATAGGGAATAGTACAGACAATGATCAGACATCATGTATGTGCCGGCAGATTTTGGTTTGCTCTAGTCGCATTGGTAAATTAGTTGCCACCAGCAGGGGGATGATTAAGCAGTGTTAAAACGTTGATAATATTTAAAACAATTCCTAGAATATATAACAACATCGGGATAGATGAATTATGGCGACACCGTTTATTTTTTTTATTGTAAAGTATCGTTTGTATCAACAATATTGTTTGTTAAACTATTGACAGAACAGTGTACGTATTATATCATAATCTTTATCTTTATCATAGCTAAACGTTCATGAAAGATGAACATGAGATGGAAATGAAATAGTATAAGTAGTCCGCCCAATCTTATGAGTCCTTATTTTCATTTAAATAAACAATTCTCTAGTCAGAACATATAAACTAATTCTTGTATTATGGTAGATGTGGCATTGACTTCTATAGATACCTTTGTTTTTATTTTATGGTTATCTGATATATTTTAACATGTTTCACAAAAAAGAGAGAATAAAAACCAACTATAACAGGAAACATCTTTTGGACTGTTTTCCTATAATTATGTGTGTAATTTGACAATATTCCAATTGATTAAATATATCCGTCGGTAGAATTAGATTATACTTTGATTAATCTTAAGGCGGAATAAGTTCTAAACCCTAGACAAATAAAATTGTCTGTTTTTTAATCGATACACTAGACTTAGTTTAACAAGAATTCCGATGTTGGTATTCTTTCGACAATTGTTCGGCTACACTTAAAACCACCATGAAAATGATTTTTAGAAAATGTTCGTCCTCTTCCATTTTCAATTTCCTAAAAAAAAAATTGGGGATATTCATGATTCATACATTCGTCTTCAGTTCTATAGTTTTCAAAAAGACAGTGAAAAGAATTTTCCCCACCCCACTTTTTTTTATCACAAGAAAAATTTGTGCCCGAAAGCCAGCTTGAAAACAACAAACAAAGACAAACAGTAAGGTCATTTTATTAAAATTTTTCAGCAGCCTAAACGCTTCTATTGTGAATATTTGTTTTTAATTTAAATTTTTTTTAAAAACAAAACGGGAACCCTTAAAACAAAAAAAAGAAATAAAATGGGAAACGAGAGAAAAAAATAAACTTAAATTTAAATTTAAAATAATGACATTTTTTTCAATTCTTTATAAGATTTTGTTTTTTGAGCCCTTTACACAAAAGGACTATTTACAAAAAAAAAATGGAGTGAACGTTGGATAAGAAATTTGGCATGCAAGTTACTGATCCATACCTACATCAACCGGTTATATATTTCTGAAAAACTGCTGTTCATGTTATGTCAACAATTGTAGTAGAGTTTATCTACGAATTTAACTATAAATATGTTAAATTTCTTAGGTAAAATTATTGGAACTGTCCATTATCAATTTTTGGGATATCCAGATGGAAACTAAATGTTAGTCAGCCAAAAGTATAGAGCCAGACCAAATGCGCGGATGTGCAGGCTTGTCTGGCTCGCTCTATATTGTTGGCAAAGACAAATCACTTTCTGTACCAGCAGGTTAAGGGTTAACAATTGTTTTCATGATACAATAAGGTGCTTTAGTGCATTTTTGTACATCTTAATTACAATTTACATTAACAAGCTTAATTTGTATTTCATTATTTCAAGAATGATGTCTGCTCTTGTGATGTTAGAAAAGCTTGCGATATTGCTGTTATGTTTGTCGAGTTCAAATGTGTCTGGCCAACTGCTATCGTTTTCTCGGAAACGAACATAAATTGCCCCTATTAACTGATTATAAATCGATTCACCACGAACAACTGATGTAAGTTAAATAAGTATGCATAACTTAGCGATTTAAGAATGCTACTGTCAATTTTATTCCACAGGCTAATAAAGATAATATTTGAATTAGATTTTAAGATAAGGAGGTGTTTGTCATTAAAATCAAATATATTTTGGCTTTTTGGGGCATCTGGCATGTGGCATGCAAGAATATTTAGTTCAGGCAAGAAAATGTTTTTACAATCTCAAAAGTGGACTTTAGAAATAATGTGTATTTTAAAGGCACACTATGTCTCAGATATCCATATTTTTTTTAAAATTCTTTAGAAATGTCAAACATATGTTTAATAAAGTTTTAATAATGAATTTACAGCATGTGCTGTTTAAGAACAGAAGAAGTAGCACTGAACGTGCAGTTATGTGTTGTAAGGGTAGCAAAATGTAAACAGAGTAGTATTTTGACTTCCATACAAATTGCCAACATAACTCTATCAGTAAAGGAAAATAATATTTTTCGCAAAAAAGTATTTTTTTTTGAAAACTGAAACAAAATACCAAACATTCAAAGGTTCAGACATATAAAAGTGATAGCATTGCTGAGGAATAATGGGTCTTTTTTCTCTTTTTTAAGTTAGTTTTATGACAACTTTTATGTCAAAACATCATGATCGCACTAATTGGAGGCCCTTTAACGTTTCCGTACTTACCGCACATCTTTCTCGTTTGAGTTTCATATAAATACAAATGTTTGCTTTTTTGAAAAAGATTTCTTTGAACAGTAATAAATGTTTTAATTAACTCGACTTGCCATGTAATATATTTCCAATTTGCTTTTAACTAACTTTCCTAACTTAACAAGCTTTAATTTATCTTAATAATGCTGCAGATTTCTTATACATGTATATTTTAAATTAGTATTTGTACATTTCGTATTATATTTTATTTCCCCAAAGATATTTATCCTTTTCAAAAGTTGTACTCACATGAGCATGTGTTAAATGCTATGCGACTAATGTTGAAATTATCTTTGTGCTTTATTAAATTTTGTAGGTTTTTTCTGGTCTGTCTGGATGATTGATTCCAATATTTGTATTGCTGCTTATTAATTGAATATTGTAAACTCCGGTGCTGGGGAAGATGATATATTATTACACATTCAATTGCTTCTAATGAATAGACTCAATCAAACGAGTTATGGTTTCCCTATTCTTTCCTCTCTAGGGATTCCTCTTTTAATATGAATTTTATTAATTTGAATATAACTCCAAAGATTAAGTCATATTGATATTTATGTTCTACATTAGAAACGCCATACATTTGTTATTTATTTGTTTGAATATCTTTTTTTGTTCTTGAGTACAGGTACTTTTTTATTTTTCAACTTGAAATAATACATCAATGTAACATTAAAAGAGCGGCAGATGGATTAATTTAACAACACTTTATGAACTGATACTTTGCGATCTAGATAAAAT